ATGTGGCCCAGTAAGAGATGATGGGGGTAAGGTTATTATTTTTTTAATTCTATTTTTAGAAAAAAAAATTATTTATTTACTTTCTTCTTCCACAAGTGAGAGAGAGAGAGAGACTGGGTCTTCACCCCAGCGAGATCTTCATGCTGCAATCCACCCCAGGCTTCGGGCAACCCCAAATCATGAGATGTATGCCTGGCGTGTTCAGGAAGTTCTCCAGACACGAACCGGGAACCTTTCCATGTAGGTCAGCCTCACAGAACGTTGTGCTCCCTCTGCACCACAGCCTGACCCCAAGTTAGAAATCTGTGTAAGTTACTTTCTGCAAAGGCTGTTCCAACACTTGGTAACACCAGGTGCCTATCAGCAGGTGACAGCGCGAGAGGTCTATCCAGGACCTTACCATGGGTCCCGTGTTGGGTGGTCTCCAGAGGAGAAGATCCATTATCTACTCTACGGAGTCTGGAAAGCTGAAAACAAGACTCAGTTTGAGGGGCCACCCCTATAGCCAGTGGTTAAGGGAGCTGGATCCCAAATGGCCAACCACAGTTCAAATCCCAGCCCTGGCAGTATGAAAAACATGCCAGACACATGTGTGTGCATGCCCCAAATGCTGACGGGATGGAGGAATGGAGGAAAAGGGACTGTAGCATGGCCTTGCCTCATTGGCAAGTATTTTCTCTCTCTCTTGTTTTTTCCTCTCTCTCTCATTCTCTCTCTCTGATGAGTACACACACACACCTTGACAATTAAAAAAGAAGAGACTTAGGGGCCCAGCAGGTGGTGTGGTGACTGAGGTACTGGACTCCCACATGACTGACAGCAGTTCGAGTCCTGGACCTGGTGGCTTGCTTTCTCACTTTTTCTTTCTCTCTCTCTCTCTCTGTCTCTCTCTGGTGAGCATGTGTGCCCTACAGCAAATGGAACAATAATAACAATGATAAGCAAACATACAATCAAGTAAATATTTTTTTAAAGACTTCATTTTCTTCCAAGGGCCAGAGTTGGGCATGGGACTGCTGTATTTCCAGTGCTTAAAGTAGTGCCTGGCCCATCAGGGTACTCGGTGAATAAATGTTGGATTTCTTTGCCTAGTCTTAAATATCTTTTCCCCTTCTCTAATTCTTTCCAACCTGGAAAGAATTGTGTCATTCCTGCCCCTGCATCTACTGTCAGCAGGGTTGTTTCCTGTCAGCTGCCTTCCATGTTGGCTTTATTTCTTGTCGTTTCTCCATTTTTCTCTGAGCGGATGCTCCACCTTCTGCCTCTCAGCTCTCCCTGAGCCCCTTCGTGCTCTTTTCTTAGAGGAAGTCATTTCCTTCTGTTTTTGGAATACCTGGCCAGTGGGCCAGCCCACGGACTGGTGGTCTGGATCCCTGTGGCCCACTGCACAGTGGAGACAGTGGAGTCCTGGACCCAGCGGCCTGAGAAACACACCAGATGTGTTGCACGTGGATGCACGGGTGGCCATGCCCAAACTCCCGAAAAAGGAGGGGGATGGGGAAGGAGGGATTGCAGTGTCCTCCTAGGTGGAACCTTCTCTGTCTCTCTCCTGCCAGCACACAGGCCCTCTGGCGAACTAAAAACCCAAACAAACAGAAAGCACACCTAGCAATTGCTTGGTTACAAATCTCTCCGCTCCATGGCGGCATTTTCCCGGTGAGTATTCCGCATCTGCCCTTTGCTGCTCCTCTCCCTTCCCGACACTGCAGAGCTCTTTCATGACTTCCTTGTTTTCTCCTTTTCCTTTTTCTCACAGTCGAGCACGTGTGCACGCACAGTGTGACCGTAAGGGAAGCACAAGCGCCTGCCACAGGAGCTCCGTCCTCCACCCTGTCCTCTGGCCCCCATCCTGTCGGCTGATGGGCACTCATGCACATGCCTGGCATGCTTCTGGCTGACTGGGCCAGGGATTCAAACCGCAGTCACCATGCAGGATCCGGCTTCTTTTAAGCAATGCATTACCGTGCCAAGGATCTGGCCCTATGGATTCTCTTTTGATGGCTCATCGTTGTTTTTTATTTGTTTTTTTTTTGTTTTCTTATTTTTGGTAGCTTGCTATAGGGCACAGAAAGTCAAAACTCCCCCACCAAAGGGGATGGCCATGCCAGAATCCTTTTTTCTTCTTTCTGCTTTCAGGATTTCGGGCACATATGTACACACGACCAGTGTGATTTTCTCTCTCTCTTTTTTTTTTGGAGAGGTTTTTGCTATAGGGGGCGTGTGCTCTCCAGAAAGACAGAGAGAGACAGAGAGACAGAAAGTGAGAAATCATCCCCCCTAGGGAGGATGACCACGCCGCAATCCCGTCTCCTCCGTTCTCCTCTCGGGATCTTGGGCATGCACGCACATGCACCCGGCGTGAGTTTAAGCCACTGGTTCAGGACGCGAACCGCGGTTAACTACATGGGAGTCCAGTGACATAGCCATTACGCTACCTGCTGGTCCCCCCCCCACTGTGATTTTCAAGCGGCCAGGTCCAGGACTCAAACTGCACAGTCAGCCATGTGGGATATGGCTGCCTTCATCTCCACACTACCTGCTGGCCCTTGATGACTCACCTTTGAAGGAATGGAGTTTTCCTGGCCCAGCTCTTTTCTGGAGCAGTGTAGGAGGCACCCTGGCAATGCTCTCATTAGCTGGAACTTCCCTTAGGACCCAGGGATAGCTTGATCAGCCTTAACTTCTCAGAGTAGGCACGGCCAGGCATGCTCAGCAACCCAGAGGTACCGGTGTTACAGGATTCTAAAGCTACAGGATTCGTGCCTTGCAATCAAGAAGAATTAGAAGCACTTACAAAGGAGGGGGTAGTAAAGCAGTCTTATTGAAAGAGAAAAGCTCCTGCCAGGGAGGGGTCCTGAAGGAGGGTTGCTGCTGTGGGCACTTTCTCCAGGGGTGTTTAATTGATTGGGTTGTTGGAAAAGTCATGATGCATTTTCACATAGAACAAAAGGACATACGTCATGATTTTTCCAACAGCCCAGCAGCAGTCCGAGCAATGGGCTGGCTCTCTAATGAAGAAGTAGGCTTCAAAAAACGATTAAAATTGTCTATGAAGTCTGCATTCTTTGTTCCCTTTCTTAATTGATGACTGAGGTAATCTATTACCAAAGTTTTCTGTGGGACTAACTGGCCATAAAGATCTGCATTCTTTGCCTGGTGGTGCCTCTGGCCCATTAAGACCTTGGTTCTGGAATGTTGCTTGAGCTCATGCTAGCTGTTGTGACTATTTTGGGCATTGCTGCAAGCAGTTAAAGCTTAGCTGCTGTGACTCCATCTTGGGCCTGTCCCTAACTAGGTTTTAGTGTCCCTGTCTCCTACCTCATTGGCCTATGTGAAGGAGATTTGCAGGCATTGCTTTTCATGTATTTATTTGTTTGTTGTCTGAAGGATGAGGGAGGACATCTTTATCCTGGGGCAGGCAGAGACAGTGTGTGCACATTTCTGCCTTGCAGAGACCAGATGCGAGCTGGCTAGAGAGCAGGGACCCGGTGCAAGCTGTCTAGAGGGTGGCACCAGGTGCGAGCCGTCTAGAGAGAGGTGCCGAAGGTGGCAGCAGACAGAGCTCCACTTATGGGGCAGATGCCCACGGAAGATGCTGCCACACGGTGTGATATGAAAATAATTGGACAAACTCCATTAGTTGAAGAGTGGGACTGAGAGGCGGCTAAGGAAACAAATATCAGGCAGAAGGTGAGCGGCCTTGGAATGTGCTCGTTTGGAGCCAGTGCCCTTGGTGCTGGGTCTCTGACATAAGGTGCTACAACGGTCCCAGGGGCCATCCACACTCATTGGACTTTCTGGTTATGGGCATCCTTCTTGTTCAAATAAACACCTCCCTCACTCTTAATCGGCAGTTACAACGTGCCAGGCTCACCGACTCCCATGCTGACCTGAGATGACTATGAGGCCATTCTGCTCCCTGCATCATAGGAGTCAGCCAATCGCTGTTGTATAAGACTCCTTGCAGGGGTCAGCAGGTGGCATGGTGGTTAAGGCACTGGATCCCATATGGCAGACTCTGTGGTCCAAGTACCAAACCTGGTGGCTTAAAAAATACACTGAGCATGTGTGTGTGCATGCTCAATATCCTGAGAGGAGAATAAAGGAGAAGGGACTGTAGTGTGGTCATCCTCTCGGGTGTGTGTATTTGTTTGTGTGTGTGATTTCTCTTTCTCTGTCTCTCTCTGTCCCTCTCCAATTAGCACATGGGCCCTACGGCAAAAATCTTTAAAAAAAAAAAAAAAGACTCTTTGCTATAACATTATAATGCTGACCATGTCGAGCTCTGACTAATGATTAGGTAACACCCCCATTTGTGATGTTTACCTCCAAAATCACCCTGAAATCTGTAACTCCTCAGCACACATTCTTCTGGAAACTTAGACATTGTGTCCAGGAGCTCGTCCAAACCTGGTCCAGATAAACTCTTTTGCTTTATTTACCATGCCTCAGCCTTTCTGTTTAGGCTGACAATGGCAGAGACAGGACCTGCCAGGGAGCAGGTCATTAGGAGCAGCAGAGAACCTAGTGTGCACCGCGGGGCAAAGGCAGAACTGAGTGTCTGGATGCTGTAAAACGGGGCTGCTTCGGAGATGCCACATCTCTCAGGGAACCACGTGGTTCTGCGGAAATCGTCTCTGGATTCCTTTGCAGACTCACATACCCTGGAAAGAGAGTCTTCGGTTTGCTAATCCATAATATGAGTAAAAAAAAAAAAACAAAGTATCTCAGCAGCTAAGGGCTAACGTCTAGTTCGGTTTCGCTTTCTGCAACAGAAACGCCGAGGTAGCACCCAGCTTTCTTTGCCTGTCCTCCCTAGAGAGTGCCTGAACAGTTTCACCGACTCCCCGACAGGATCAAAGGAACCAGGTGATGGCTCCAGCTGAGCGTGTTCTTCAGTGACCCTGCGCTTCTACGCACAGACGAAGCACGTGCGCTCTCTTCCATTCTGAATGATGCATCTCTAGAAATGTCTATTTCCTTTCATAATCTCTTTATAGAATCTAGGTTATCCTGGCCCCCGGGTTTTGATTCGGCTATGGAAAGATGTGATCTCATCTCAATGAGCTCATCCTTGTCCCTTCCTGGCATGAGTTGTGAGAGCTGCGTGAAATGCTTTCTGAAAACCTGCCTCAACCCAACTCAATGGTCCAGGAAGAATCCGCCTGGTAAGATTTGGAGAGGATTCAATTAATTTGGTCAGAAACTGAATCTAAGTGAGAGAAGAGAATTCTAGGAGGGGGGAAAAAAAAGAAGCTTAATTACACTGAAAAATTAAAATCTGAAACCATTCCCTTTGTGATTTTGCTGAGGGAATTAGTATTAACTACACACTGGGTGTCAACTGATATGCTTAGTGTTATAGGTTCCAAAGTAGGTGAGGCACAGGCCCAGTTCTCAGGAGCTCACTGAGCAATGGAGAAAGGACTTGAATGCTTCCAGAGAATGACTAAGAACGAGGTCAGTAATTTGTTATATTTTAACGACCTTTTTTATGATTATAAAAACAATGGATATTTGGGGCCAGCAGGTGGCATGGTGGGTAAGGTGCTGGATTCCCACATGTCTGACTGCAGTTTGAGGCCCAGACCTGGAGGCTTGGACATCACACCGGGCACATATGTGTGTGCCCAAAATCCCAAGAGGACAATGGAGGAGGAGGGATTGCAGTGTAGCCATCCCCCCTTTGGGAATTATTTCTCACTTTCCCTCTCTCTGTCTCTCCCTGGCATGAATGCACACCTTATGACAAAAACCTAAAAATGAAAAGAAGAAGAAAGAAAAGAAACATGGGACCAGCAGACAGTGTAATGGTTACATTGCTGGACTCCCATGTAGTCAACCATGGTTTGAGTCCCAAACCCAGCAGCCTCAAGCTCACACTGAGAGTGTGCATATATGCCCCAAATCCCGAGGAGAGTGGAGGAGAAGGGATTGCAGCGTGGTCATTCCCTCTCTGGGGATTTCTCACTTTCCCTCTCTCTGTCTCTCTCGCATGAATGTATGCCTTATGGGAAAAAAAAATAAATAAAAACCACCACTAAAAAAAAAGGAAAAAGACAGAAAAGAAACACAGGACCAGCAGATGGTGTAATGGTTATGTTCCTGGAATCCTACATAGTCAATCGCAGTTTGAGTCCCAGACCCAGTGGCTTAAAACACTCCAGAAGAGTGTGTATACATGCCCAAAACCCCAAGAGAAGAATGGAGAAGGGATTGCGCTATGGCCATCCCCACTGAGGGGTGATTTCTTGCTTTCTGTCTCTCTGTCTCTCTGGCAAGCACATGTGCCCTATAGCAAAAATATCTCTTAAAAAAAAAAAAAAGAAAAAGAAAAGGAAAAGAAACAGATTTAATGAAGAAAATTTGGAAAATGAAGAAATTAAAAATCATCTCCGAGGGCCAGCAGACGGTGTAGTGGTTATGTCACTGGATTTGACATAGTCAACCAGTTTGAATCACAGACCCAGGGGCCTGCAACTCACACTGGGCACGTGTGTGTGTTCCCAAGATCCCAAGAGGAGAATGGAGGAAAAAGGATTGTGGCATGGCCATTTCCCCTGGGGGACGCTTTCTCACTTTCCCTCTCACTGTCTCTGTCTCTCTCTCTGGTGAGTGCACATGCCCTAAGGAAAAACTTCTAAAAAAGAAAAAAAAAATCATCTCTGAGCCTGCCACTGTAAAAAAGCTGTTAACAATGGGGACCAGCAGATGGTGTAATGGCTATGTTGCTGGACTCCCAGGGAGTTGACCATGGTTCGAGGCCTGGACCCAGTGGCTTAAACTCACACCAGGTGCATGTGTGTGTGTGCCCAAGATCCCGAGAGAAGAATGGAGGAGGAGGGACTGCGGTGTGGCCGTCTCCCATGGGGGGTGATTTCTCGCTTTCTCTGTCTCTCTCTGTCTTTCTGGCGAGTGCACGCACCTATAGAAAAAACCTATCCAAAAAAAAAAAGCTGTTAACAATGAACAAGTTTAAGGCCAGCAGGTGGTGTGGAGGTTAGAGTGGTTGGATCCCACATGGCTGACTCCACAGTTTGAGTCCTGGACCCAACAGTTTGCCAATCACAGTGGGCTCGATGTGGATGCATGCCCGAAATCCCAAGAGGGGAATGAAGGAGACGGGATTATAGCGCGGTCATCTGCTCTGCGGGTGATTTCTCACTTTCCCTCTCCTCTCTCTCTCTACAGTGCGTGCACTCTGTAGAAAATAAATAAATAAACATCAATGGTTTTCGAGGGTCACGATGGGTATGATACTATAAAAAGCACTGGTGTTGATTAAATGTATTCTGTGTGCCAGAGAGTAAGCTAGACTCAGCCAGCCTGTGCCTCAGCCCTCTGAAGTGGGTACCATCAACATCCACATTTTGCACGTGACAGAGCAGGGGCTTTGAGAGGTTCCTCTGCCCAGAGGCTCACAGCTAGTGAGTGGCAGAAGTTGGACTCACTTGAGGCTGGTCTTATTCTCACCTGCTCGGCCAGAACCAGCCGCCAAGCCCTTGTCAGCGGCAGGGCCGAGCAATTCTGAGTACAGCCCGGGTTTGGCTTTCGGAAACCAGTGTCTTATTCCTGTGGAGAGACTGGGCTAGATAGGTTATACCCTCAGAAACAAACCAATCAACAAGAAAACAGAAAACCTGGATGTCTCTGGCAACTCTGTAACAGCCATACCAGAGGGAGAAAGGCCTTGTGCTCTCTCTGGAGAGACTGCAAGCCTGTGCCTGCTGGTGTGCTGCTGCCACCTGGTGGACATGGTGCTGTAGGACACTGTGTCCCGCAAGACCAGCCCTGTGAGTGAAGGGAGAGAAGGAAATACGTTTTTTCTACCGCAAATTTACACTAAGATGAAGGAGAGATGTGTGGGGAGAAATTCCTAAGTTGGAAGTTTTAAAGCGGGGGGGAACAAGAGATATAAATGTTACTGTGACCTTATAATTTTCCCTACGTCCTGATAAAGCTTGGAGAAACTCAGATTTTATGTGTGTGTGTATAAAGTATATATACACACATATATGCCTATACATATATACACGTAAAATCCGAGAATATATATAACATCTTCATACATCATATACTCCATGTAAATGTAGTATATGTGTATTTTGTACTCCTAAATGTTTCCCTCTGTGCTTTACTACAGCTAAAGTACCTCTGTTTACACAGCTTACATTCTTAGTGGAGGACAGCCTCATTTCCAGGGGTACCTGACCAGCATCTACCATCAAGACCAGGGCACAGAGTACAGGGTCTCAGAGTTATCCGTAAGGTCTGTGGGGTGAGATGCCGTGATGAGAGGCCCTCAATCACCTCGTCCTAAAGACAGAGGGCGTATCCTTCCGCCCTGCACCTGGACCGCTTGACTCAATCCCCTGCATTAACGAGATAAAATGAGTTTCTAATTAAAAGTTGCAGGTCCGAAGATGGGAACTCTAACCATCAGGTTTTCCTATCCGGGTCTCTGTCAGAGCTGGAGAACTCTGCTCACGATGTCAGTGAGTTACACACACATAGGAGAACCCAAGTGCTTGACCCAGAGCTCAGGTACGGGCTTCGAGACGTCTACACACTCCCTGATGGAGTGTGTCTGAGTGTGTGCACTGTCCTGGGAAAAGAAGGCCAGAGCTTCCATCAGCTTTTGAAAATGGTACCTATTTGGGGCCAGTAGGCGGCATGGTGGTTAAGGTGCTTGGACTCCCACATGGACAACTACAGTTCGAGTCCCTAACCTGGCGGGTTGCTTTCTCACTTTCCTTCTCTCTCTCTCTGGTGAGCACATACATCCTGTACTAAATTTAAAAATCATAATGAGGATATTTAAAATTAAATAAATGATTCTTTAAAAAAGAAAGAAAATGGTCCATACTCAAAGAGAAGTTTCAAGCCATAGCCTGGGGACCTTCAGAGGATCCTTTAAGACATGGGCTTAAAGGATCAACCAGCAGTTGGCCTAACGAATATGTTGCTGGACTCCCATGTAGTTGACTGCAGTTCGAGTCCCGGACCTGGTGACTTAAACTCACGGCTTGCCCAAAAATCCTGAGAGAAGAATGGAGGAGAAGGGATTGCAGCATGGCCATCCCTCCTGGGGCGTGATTTCTTGCTTTCTGTCTCTCTTTCTGGAGCGCGCGCACCCTATAGCAACAACCTCTCCAAACAGATTTTTTTTAAAAAAAAGACATGGGCTTGTCTAATGTTGGTCAGCAGCACACGTACTAAGGGATCATCTCCCATGTGGGCTGGCCTTGTGGAGTGTCACAGTCTACCTTCGTGCCACCCGCACACGCACCTTCACTCTTCAGAACCTACTGCAAATGCACACTAACATCATTCCGTTGAGGACAGCAATGCTGGGCCAGCCGGTGGCATGGCGGTTAAGGCGGCCAGACCTCACATGGCTGACTGCCCTGAGTCCTGGACCCAGCAGCTTGAAAAACACACCATGCAAGTGTGTGTGCTTGCCCAAAATCTTGAGAGGAGATGGAGAAGGGACTGTGGTGTAGCCACCACCCCCTAGCGGCTGCTTTCTCTCTCTCTCTCTCTCTCTCTCTCTCTCTCTCTCTCCAGCAAGCACACATGTCCTATAGTGAATTTTTTAAAAACAGTCTTAGAGATGTTGTGTCTCTGTATAGTTTCTTCTATAGAGCTCTATTCCCTTTCCCTTCTTTTTGTGCTGCCATTATTATATATATTGTATTCATATATATCACAAATCCAACACCACATTGTTGACATTACTACTTTAGAGAAGTTTATGTACTTCAAAAGTGAATGAGGGTTAGGGTTAGGGTTAAGAAAAAAAAAAAGATTATTAAAAAAAAAAAAGTGAATGAAGAAAGGAGAGTTCAACATATTGGGTGGGCCAGAAAGTCATGACGTGTTTTTGCAAAGAAAACCAGAAAACCCATCGTGACTTTCCGGATGACCTAATGCATTACAAAGGTGGCCTGTGAGCCTGCTCATTACCAGTTCTGGTTCTTTCCATCTGTCCTTTGGATTCAAGTCACTCTCTGGTGTCACTTCTTTCCTCCAGGAGGACCTCGGCCCTTCACTCCCTGTTACTGCACTCTTACTGTGAAGTACGTCACATCTGCAGATGCTAGAGGCCCAACTATGCAACTCTGTGCATGTCATTTTATAGAGCTTTTGTTTCATATATTTAAAAGGAATTAGTCAAGAGAGGACCAGAAAGCATCATGTAGGCTAAGGCACTGGATTTCACATGGCCCACTCCGTAGTTCGCGTCCTGGACCCCGTGGCTTGAAGCTCATCCCTTAGCATGTGTGCATCTGTGCCCAAAATCCCAAGAGGAGAATGGAGGAGAGGGGATTGTGGCGTGGCCATCCTCCCTGGAGGGTGGTTTCTCACCTTCTCTTTCTCTGTCTCTTTCTGGTGAGTGCATGTGCCCTGTAGCAAAAAAATTAAATAAATAAATAAATACATACATACACACAAATTAG